TAACCACTCTAGACCAAGCGCGTTGTTTGTCTAGCTATTCTTAGAGACTGAGAGCTTCTAATTACGCAGTATTAAAGCCTCCTTGTACCAGGCAGAGATGTGGACGCGTCCCTTGTAGATGATGAAGGGCGGGGTCGCGTACCCAGCAGCGCAGATGCTCTGGATAACTGTAACCTACTTGTGATTGCCTGGCTGAACAAGCGCAGGTTGGGCGCGTCTCTCTGCACCTGTGACGACCTTTATAGAGCCAATTACGCCTATCTAGAAGCTAGTCTTATTAAAGTTGTGCACGTTGTTATTATGGACGCTATACTTGGCTTTAGTCTCCTCCACTAGCTTAAACCACGCGCTAATTATCTCTAGATCCTCCTAGAGTATTCTCTGCCTATCCTTTGCTTGATTAAAGGCCATTTTGAGCTCAGGCAAGCGCGTTACAAAGCGATCAGCCCAGCACTTGCTAATAGGCTTGCCACCGCGTACAGCCAGCAGTTTATCAGCCATATCTGCCACCTCGCACAGCTGGGGCGCAAATCCTCGCAAGTCGAGGTCGAGTATGTATTGGATGATTGTCTGCTGTTCAGTCGCAGTGAGCTTCTGTCAGTTGGGGGCAGCTTCTGCGCGAAATGTGAGTCCTTGGACGCAACAAGAGAGTGTACAGCGATCAACGTTAAATGCCTCTGCAGCAGCCCAGTGGCTTCGGAATTGTCCAGATTTCAAGGCTTCAATAGCAAGCTGAAGCCTCCCTTCATGTTCAAGTAATAACGCGTTTGGTAGTTGAGGCATGTTAGAGAGAGAGAGTAGGTAGAGGGCTTGGCAAGTTTTGGGACACTCGGTGATGTGGGACACTCGGTGATAGTTTAGGTTATGGCTTATACTAGAACTACTTATAGCCAGAATATACCTGCTATCCAAGGCCTAAGGGGAATAGAGGAATCTTTTCAAGGCAAATGCTCTGCACTAAGAGAAACTCTCTTCCCTAGCCCTCCTGCCTCTAGGCCTATAGAGTAGGACAACTACCAACCAAGCAACTAGGAATGGCCCAATCTTACTATAGAAGAGCTAGAATACGCTTGCTCAGCACAAATCCAAAGCAGCTCTCCAGGACCAGACGCCCTAACACAGGAGATTATTACTACAGCATATAAAGCACAGACAGAAACATTCTTCTTTGTTTTCTCTACTTTGTTTAACTACAGCTACTACCTACAGGAATAGAAGAAAGCAACAGGAATTATCCTAAAAAAGCTAAACAAGCCTAATTACACTGCACCTAAAGCCTATAGAGTAATTGCCTTGCTTAGCTGCCTAGGCAAAGTTGCAGAAAGAGTAGTAGCAAAACGCCTTAGAACTCTTGCAGAAACAACAGCTCTTCTTCACCCCTCACAACTAGGTGGAAGAGCACAAAAATCCGCAATAGACGCATCTATACTGCTGCTAAACCAGGTCCAAGAGCAAAGAAAACTAAAACGCACAACCTCTACAGTATTCCTAGACATTAAAGGCGCCTTTAACCACGTCGCTCTAAACCAGCTACTTGCTATACTACAACAGCTACAGCTACCTTGCAATTTAATAGCATAGGTTAAATTATTCCTATCTAAGCGCCAGCTAAGACTATCCTTTAATAGAGAAACAGAGGGCTTTAGTAGTATTACAGCAGGAATTCCACAAGGCAGCCCTGTCTTACCAATCCTATTTCTAATATATATTAGACCTCTGTTTTAATCTATTACAAACTACTCCCTTTCCTACCTAGACAATCTAGCAATTACAGCATTATCTACTAGCCTAAAGAAGAATGTCCGCTTGCTAGAAAGAGACATAGCAAGCCTATTTGCTAAAGGAACAAGCTGCGCTATACAATTTGATGCAGCAAAGACAGAGCTTATTTACTTTACAACAAGCAACAAAGCTATTAGCTCTACACTTACCCTGCCAGACAGGTCTACTATAGAGCCTAAAAAGACAGTAAAGTAGCTAGGAATCTACTTTAACAATGCACTCTCCTTTAAAGAACACGTAGCTACAAGGATTAGCCAAGCAAGAAACGCTTTCTACAGAATGTGCAGACTTGCAAATAGCAATAGAGGCCTCCCTCCTAGCGCTATAAGACAGCTATACTTAGCATGCGTTTCTAGCATCGCGGATTATGGTTGCCAGGTCTTCTGGAAACAACAAGCAGGAATAACAAAGCAACTCTAAGGATTGCAGAATCTTGCCCTAAGAAAAATCCTAGGAACCTTTAGGACCTCTCCTATAGCACCACAGGAGACTGAAGCAGCACTTCCTCCCCCTGCTATAAGACTAAATACTGCTCTAAGAAAGTACGCCTTTAGAGCTAGAGAGCTACCTAAAGACCACCCTGTTTATATTGTAATTAAGACTCTAAAAGCCACTCTACAGTTACAAAGAGAAGACTTAGAGTCTAGCACAGAATAAGAGGAAGAAGCTGCTCTCCTAAGGCTAAGAATAGGCCTACCTACTTAGCTTATG